TCAATTCATAGTTCTGATTGCCAGCGTCGCAAACAAATTCAAGCTAAATAACCCTCTGTGAAGATTCTCCGTCAAAGTGGTGATCCCGTAAAGGCTGCTTATCGTAGACGTCTGAGCGCTGTCCTGGTCCGAGCGGCTAAAACTGAAAGACATTTCCCGCTGACGTTCAGTGGACGCTGCTTCAGTTTATAAGAATCGAGGCTCTTCAAATTTCTGTGCCCTCTAAATTTAGCGACGTAATTTATGGGCACCTCTGCATCCCTAAGGTGCGATATACAAGAATAGTTGGTAAGGTTTGTCTACAGGCTTTCTGATGGTATAGCTGTTTTAATCAAGCTTACCGATCTCGCTCTTGCCGAGTGGTGCCTTTATGTGCAAAACGAATTGAACTGTGACTGTATAAAAGATAATGTAGATGGAACATCCTTGTATCAATGACAGCAAAATGTTCAATAAAGTTATAGCCGGAGCAAGTAAAATAATTGGGGATTTGATTTTCGAAATGCAAAAAGTAGATGTCGCATTATACTCTGATTAAATATAAGGAAACGGAACTAAAACACGATGGAGGAGAGAATGAATCTAAAAAGTCTAAACTGTTATCCTGGCCACCCAGCATGTTTTTCTTCTTTTTTTTTTTCATTTTAGTCGCACTTTCCATGCTTAAGTTGTTGATAGTGAAGTCTTATGAGAGCCATCACTATCAGGCGAATGTTACAGAGTGGGGACTTGATGGGCTGCAGAGCGGGAATAATGTCTGATGCTGTGCGCATGCTCTGAAATGGCGTAGGTCTGCGTCATAGCAGGTCGAATGTCTGTTTTAAAGGAACATGAAGCTTGATGCTTCTAAATTTTCTCTAGGGCTAGATTTTCTTGTCTTAGAGATGTACAGTTTATCGCGTTGGCAGGCCGAATCATTACATCATTTTATCTCCATTTCACGGGTAAAAGCTCTTTTTGCGGCACTAAGTGGAAAGGTAGCGTCTGTCTCGCGCCTTGATGATGTCCCCGTTCAAATTAAAAAGTTGAAATTCCTTAGAACGAAAAGCCAGACGTTATTTCTAAATCAGTGTTCGGTTCCGTTAAGATATTTTTGATAATTCCACTTTGCTGATTCGGCGTGAATTATCAGCAGTGACATGCTTCCTTTGCGCGTAGTTCAAGTTCTTTACTGATCACTCGTGTTTATAATAAAGCATGCTCTTTCTGTAATTGGGGTGATAAAGATTTTGTACTAATTTTTTTCATCCGAATTCTAAATTGTAGCGAAACGAAGTATTCGGCTTTGGCTACTTCGCTCGACGCTAGAGAGATAATGAGTCGAACAGTAATTCCTGTGGAGGAAAGGACACTTAGCTTTCCGCCTAAAAGCAAACTCGGCCAATATCACCCCATCTTGCCCTCATGATTGGTCAATAACGCATACCTCTCCTATAGCTACCACTATATTTACTTTTTCGTAATATGTCATAATCGATAATCCGTGCGATAATTTACCTGAATCAACCATTGAAAGATATTCAGTTCGTCCATTCAAACTCTCTTAATATTAAAATCAGGCTTCTGGAGCAGAGCTCAAAGGTTACGCCTTTATAGCTTATGATTTTATCGTCTTGACCAAAACATGAAAAAAACCGCAGGCCACCAAACATCACATGGAACCACTAACCAATCAGCTACTGTTCTCAAAACAGTCGCAGTGTAGAGAACGTGCATTAAAGTTATACTTAAAGAGATTATCATTGGAATGGTGGTATGCATGGGATATAAGTTCTCTCACTTTATATTCTCTTGTTCTATTTTATTGTATCAACCAATGATGTCTAAAGAAAGCATCGTACCCAAAGTTGCAAGTTTATGTGCACCGCACTCGTCATCATCTGATCATGATCTTTTCATCCAAGTTCTCTGTTAATTTTTTAGACTCATCTGCGGTCGAACTCATGAAATTTAAAAAAAAGAGAGATTATAAGCTATTTATAATCTCTTGATCCTCATAAACCAAACGCTTAAGCCAGATAGATTGCTTTTTCAAGGACAGCAACAGTCAGTCGTCTCCTATCAGATTTACTAAATAGATTAAAATTATAGATTTGTAATTCTTTGGTTTAACAAAGCCTATACTTTAGTTTGATTCTTTGGAAAAAATGAAATGCGTTCTTTGCTCTGCTGCCAATTGTCGTTCTTTACACCGCAGACTCCAAGTGCTTCTAGGGTAGCATCGGACTTAAAAAATAGCAACTTCTGGTCGATTTTATTTGCATTATCCAGCACTTTTTTCAAGGCTTTGATATCGCGACTGCACTATCTGTAACCTTAGTTTTGCATTTTAATATTTGTTCAACTAGAAGCAGATGTTAAGTTAACGAAAAGGCCTTCTAATCCAACCTACGTTAAGAATAGAGGCACAGCCAAACTGGTGTGGGACTACATTGACCTCAACAATGATTTCGGGGGCATTGCCTTTAGTGTTTTAGTGGATGGAAATCGAGGTAAAGAGTTTAAAAGAATGGTGTACAAACAGTATGGTGTTATTGCAAACCATTCAAGCATACCTTCAGCTTATCAAGGAAGAGTCAGGATGGAAGGAAATGCTACACTAGTCATTGAAAAAATAACCCCGAAAGGCAACACTAAATTTCGATGTGAAATATTTGGTAGACTTACAAGTGAAAGCGATGTTCAGCTTATCGTGGCAGGTTTGTATAACATGTGCACCTTGCAAACACTTCTAACTGCGGTCATTCAAGCGTACGATTTAATTGCTTCTTTCTTGATACACTTTGTATGCATAAAGCTAATCATTTAAAATTCGTTTTGATCCTCTTTTTGGTGGTTTTGACGGCCTTATTGCAAAAGCTCCGACTGCTTTTGATGAAATGAAGTCACCTAACACGGTAACGACTATAAATGGAAAAAGTGTAGTCGGGGATGTCCTGAGTTTTATGGAAATTGGTTGTCTCTGACTTTCGTTTCAGAAATAACAACAGTCAGAGGCAACTTAAGCAATTTACTGATGGCAGATTTTTGTACATATACAATTCTAGAAGACAAAGAGCCACACCTTTGAAAAAAAATTAGCAACGAGAAAGAATGGAATATAAAATCAGCACTGCAAGTTTTTCGAACAATATTCGAAGAAGAAGGAGGCTAATTTGATTTAATGTGGCAGAATCTGCAAAAGCGGTTGGTGCTTTCTTCTCAGACACTGCATTGAATTGTTTCTGACTTGCTTCTGAATTGTTTCTAGCTTTGAAAAACTGGTGCTGCCGGCTATTCGCAGTTTACTAATCATCACTGAATTCAGAAT